TTATGTCTCTTTCGGTTTAAACATGAATAATAATGTCCTGGCTGAGGTAGAGATACCAGGCTGTTTCGATCTTTTGAGACACCTCTCTTTCTCACGTGTTGACGCCAAGGCCCCCTTCCGAGCAAAATGGCCGACGCGCTTCTCCTCCGGGTCAGCCTGTTCGGTGAGCCTGCTCACAGGTCGGAGGTGGTCGGTGAACACACGTTTGACTGGCACCTCACCGTGCATCAGATAAGACCGCAATTAAACCACGTTATACACAGTGATAGTTCTTTCATTGTAGTGGTAAAGAGTAATTTCTTGATATTTAAATATAATAACTGACATATTCATTCCTTAATTTTATTGTATAACGTAAAATTGGATTATGTCTGTATAAAGACACCAGTTTAAACATAATCAAATGTTTGTTTCCAGTAAAGGGGGAAGATGCTCCGGAGTGGTCGTTTGATTTATCGGTGATCTTGGTATCAGGTCTGACAGGAAGTTTAATCAACCGCGGTGCGAACGTTCGAGTCGAGAGGAAGGTGCTCTCTTCAGCGAAAATGACTTTCAACCGGTTGCTGTCCAGGGCTGTTTTTGTCAGCAGAGGTAAAATCACGAAAAGCTGTTAATTATCGTCGTTAAAAATTTTAAGTCTACGTGATTTGGCTCGTTATTTAAAACAGTGACTGTGTTTGTTTTGCGGGCTGACCTTAGCTTAGCTTAGTTTAGCTCAGTTTAGCATTCTGGTAGCATGAATTGGTTTTGGCTTTATAACTAAGGGGTAAAATAAAGCATCAAAACTAAAGACTGGAAAAGTATTAGCAACTGCTTTCAACCCAGATTTTCAGTGCATGTTTTGTTTTGTGTAAAGATTAAAAAAAATCTAACAGGTCATCTACTAATCACGGTTGGTGGTTCGATCCTTGACTTGCCAAATGTCCCTAAGCAAGATAATAAGCCCAAGTTGTTCTCCAATGTATCCGTTAGTGTGGATGTGTGTAAATGTTAGACAGAGTTAATAAAAAGTGCTTGTATGAACAGGGAAGTAGAAAGGCGCTATATAAGAACCAATCCATTTACCGTTACTTGGATTGTATGAGTACTGGCTTCCCATACAAAGACCGTGTTTTTTCATGTTGTTGTGGTTTCTCATTGTTCCAGCTGGCTGCAGGTCTGCTTTCACAGGCTCCAAGCCTGATATGACCAACCCCAACTGGTTCAGAGTGGGTCTTGCTTTTGGAACATCTGCTTTCCTATGGGGCTTGGTGAGTGCCTCATTTCATATGTACACCAAGGTGCTGTTTTAGAAGTAGCTCCACTGTGAGTTGATGCAGAACTTCTGAAAAAGCTGATTATGTAGTTCAATCAGGTCTGAGTGCATTCGCTGTGATTTGAGTTGTATTCAGAGTGCAGCATTTGTTTGCATAGGCTCTGTGGAGTTTAATGTTATGTGAATGCAACCTATACCGATGTCACGTAACTTAGTTTGTTGGAGAAAACGTGCTAGCCAGCAGATTGGATTCAGAGTGTGTTACCTTAGTATTTGTTTCAGAGTTTAAGTTGGCTCACTTGATAAAAGAAAAATTAAAGTAGGGCAGGGAAATATGGACAGAAATAGTTATCACGGTATATATTTTGAAATTTGCAATAACGATATAATTGACGATATAACTGACGCGAGACAAAGTACTTTAAAACTCCACAACTTTATTGGTGCAAAAAACCACCAGTTTCACTTAAACAAGCAGCTGTTTTTTATGTGCATTAAAGTTATATAAACATTTAACAGTGCAAATGAAAATTCGTTGCTGACAGTTTAACCAAAAGGCATTTCCAGTGGAAACTGGCCGACATATCCTCAGCGTAACCATGTATAATATCCACAAAACTTAAAAAGAGGTTATACACACACAATACGGTAACATTATGTTGAAGCACAGTACGTATCATATTTTTCGCATGGTATTTTAATAGCGACTTATTTTCCAAAAAACACGGTAATAACGATGATCCGCTAGCATGCTCTACCAAAAATAGTGCTTTGTTGTGTATCTGACGGAC